CCCAAGTAAATAATGTAACTCATTTTCTTTTTGTGTCACTTGTGAGACACCTTGAGATTCCTTTTAAAGGAGGCTGCTGTTCCATTGGTAGGTGCTCAGCAAACTTCTGTTGGCTCCAGTTGTCTCAAAACAACTAGTAAAACATCACTAATCATTATGGCAAACCTTTGCCACCATAGAACTCTTCCAAATGAAGATTAGGAATCATGCTCATGAAAACCAGCAATTTCAGCAAACACTAACAAATACATGACAAACATGCTGGACCTGGGAAGAGTTAGTGTAGTTCCTTTTTATTGGGTGCTACCTTGTTGATTCACATGAGCTCAAGGTCTGTTTTTTTCCCAAGAAACCAAGTGGATTTTTTTTTTATGCTTAAGGAGAGAAACAACCAGGGTTGTGATAGCAATCTGTACTGGGTGAAGAAAACAGCTCACACTCAGAACAAGAAACTCACGGAAGCCTCTTGACACTATGGAAAGCCATAAAGGATCCAAGCTGGCCATCCCTTAGGTAGAATGTTACAATGTCACAGCAACTCAAACTGATAGAAAAGCTCAGACTGAAGTTACACCATTCTGGTACACTGATGTTTTCCTTTTTGGACTGATTTTTTCAAGCAGTGTTAACTGAGTGACATAGCTGACTGGGCTGTTTTCTCTGGACATAGTCCTGTGCCTGTGTATGAAGTTCAGGTATTCTTGATATTGCCATTTGCACAGTTGTTTCTTCAGTTCACTTTGAACCTATAGAAAAGGAATTCAAAACCAAAGAATCAATAAATTAAGACTTAGTAGACATTGAAGGTAAAATATGCCAAAATGCCTGCCTAACCACTTAGCCCAGAAGCACAAATGCACTCAAATTAGAAAGAACTGAACCTTGACACATTTTTAGAAGAACTTAAACTATGTCTATATTGAATTTTGAAAATAACCAGACTTAATTTCCAAAATTCAGAGGACGACGGGGAAGTTTTAGACTGCAGTTCCTTTATTTATTGTTGTAGGTGTGCTTCATAATTTTTTAAATTCTCTGTGTAATTTCTGGTTTTCCTAATACCTGATTTCCTGTGTCTACTTTCTGTGACATGCTACGTACAATAAGGATCCTTCTCCAGGCTTTCAGTTTGAAATCCCTCTTAAAGATCCCTTACTGGCTCTGAAAGGTACTGAATCAACTTGAATCCATTTTACATTTGAAAGAGGTCTCGGGAATTCTCAGAAGAATAAATAAAACTGTGTTTTGTTTTGTTTTGTTTTTTTCTGACACACAATTAAAAGGCAGTTTGAAAATACTGGTAGGTCCACATCCTGATAACCCCTAACTGGGACTGGGGTGGGGAAACAGGGACAGACTAAGTGCTGTTGTCCTATGTAGAGCACTCAAAGCTGTAGCAGAGAGAGAGTGTGAAGAGATGCAGGAGACACCTTGTCTTAGGAATTCATCTTAGGAACTTAGGAATTCATCTAGTAATTCTGTTATGTAATCCTTTCTTGGATATGCTATCTACAGTGACATACAGAAAAGAGGATGGGAGATACAGAAGTACATCTTGGACATCAAGGCTCACCAAAAGTCACTGGAAATAGTTATCATTGAGGTGGCCCCTATTCTGCCTTTATTCTCTCTGTTAACCACACAGACACGCCAGCCCCTGTGTGCAACTTCAAGCATGGGCAGAAAATACCCTCTGGATCTTTCAAGAGCAGTAAATGAAAGAGGGTCTTCTGCCACCAACTCAGTACTCTGGTAGTAGCCCAGTAAGATCAGATACCAGCCCTCGCTTTCATCCCATAGAGATACTACCTTGCTTGGCATCAGCATAGTCTCTCACTTTGTTGCATATATTTGAAATGGAAGAAACACACACAGACAGAAAATAATAATGATTTTTTTATGCTTGCAGGGAACTGCAACAGATGCACTGCCAAGTTGCAATGAGTGCTCCAGAAGCAGTTATCTCTGAGGAGCATGGACGCAAGCCAAGCCATAACACATAATCTTAGGGCAAGAGATTGTTCTCTGCCTGTCTTTTTTTTTTTTAGCACCTAGTAGATTTGTGCAGTGTGAGATACAATTTAGAAGTTATTTAAAGACTGTTGGCAAGGAGTCTCTGCAGACAGAAGGCAGGTGGGAAATAGAGAACCTTGTATTTACAGTTAATCTTGAAGGCACTTTCTTAGAACGACACTGGAATGGCCGTTATAAATTGTTTTCCTAAGTAATAAACATATTCGAGGCATTATTCATCCTTGGATAGGATTAGTTTCATGTATGTTTAGCCATCTCTATTGGAAATGTCCAGTCTAATCTAGTAGGAGACTGAGGCACCATTAGTACGTCACTCTTCTCACCTAATCTACACACTTTTCTGAGGATAAGTTGTGTTTTTACATTTTTCTTGTGGCTTTTGATTCATTCTGGTCTTTCAGGGAAAGTGTAAGCAAATTTTGTTAGGTTTTAAAATTATAGGGTCCCTAAAGTGTACTACAGGGATTTTATCCAAATTCTGACAATGTTAAAAAAACAGAGGAGAAAATGTTTGAACAAACTACTGAAAATTCAGCCTTCCCTGGAAAATGGCGAAGGAGAGAGGAAGGAGAAAGGAAAAGCAAAGAAACTCTCTAGCAGAAAATAAACCTAAATAAAGTAAAGAGCATTACAAACTTTCCACTGAGACATCATCATGATAGCTATCAGATATTAATTCCCCTGACAGGAAAGTCACCAACCACTTGTAAAGGGTCATTGCTTCATAGTTTATTTTGTGTCCTTCTGTCAGAACTGCTGTGAATACAGATGAAGCCAACAAAGGTACCGTGGGAGAAGAAGATATGGGTATTTCATGCTTTCAGGAGCAGATCAAAGCACAGATATGTTTTGAAAATAGGGAATAAAAAAAAAAAAGAGGATAAACAAGAAGCCCAGGAGTTTAAAAGGTTTTGATAATCTCATATACTTGCTACTCACCTCTGCATTTGAGAAGCAATATAGAAGAGCTACAACAAAACCCTAGGACAAGGAGGGTAGGGAGAAGAAAAACCAACCATCAGGATTTGAAACACAGAATCAGAGAATGACATCAGATTTCATTTAAAAATTGAACAAGACGGAATAAAAATATGTATTTTCCATTGTTTCATGAGAATTTAGGTGATGTGGCACTATTTATTGGTTTTTCATAATAGGTTTAAATTCCTTGGTGTACTGGCAAAGTTATACATATGTTATTATCCTTGTATCATAGAGTCATGGAATCATAGAATAATCTGAGTTGGAAGGGACCTTAAAGATCATCTAGTTTCAACCCTAGTCTCTAGTGTGGAGACACTAAGCACTGATTTACTCCTTCCTGTATCCTACAAACAAGTTCCCGCTCTGGTAAAATAGTAGGGATCTCTGTCTTGTTCTAGTCTGAATTTACCTCAGCTATTCATGACAAAGTGTGCCATACACAGGTGTTAGCCCTCTCAAATTCAAAATATTGTTCTAAACAGTTGTATGGCAAAATAAAAGAAAAAAAAGAAGTATTAACATGATGGATTCAGTACTGTTAAAGCACAAAGGCAGAAAAGGCTGTTATATATTCTCCTTTTTTTTTTTATTCTTCTTATCACCTGTATGATACATGGAATTAGTTTCAATCAATTCACCTTGACTCATAGACTGATCTTCATGGTATTCTGTCATTATTTAATAAAGCGTTTTTTTTTCTGGTGATTATTAACATTAATTCTGAGTCAGAACTCAAAAGTAACGTGAGATTTCAAATAAAAAGATAAGGAAACAAGTAGCAGAAACAGTTTGTGGAAGAGTAAGATGGACTGTGTGCGTTGAATTTAGACACGTTATTAACACACACTTTAATAACCAACCTAAAATATAAAGCTTCTGGGAGTGTGGTGTTTCAGACCTAATCTCTTAAGATTGATAAACATCTTGTCCAGCTTACCTGAAAAGAACCCAAGCCCAGCTCGATGTAAAGGCGAGCTTCCAGACCAGTACTTTCTGGGAAAAATGCAAATACAATGTAGTGCACTCCAAAGAGGGGGATTAAGAGTAATGTGGATTTAGCAAGTCTCCTGGCAAAGGAAGAATTAAAGAACAATGCACTGTTAGAAATATGGAATTACTGACAGCAATTTCATGTTGGAACAAATCTGAATACATAGGACAGTTCCATAATGGAAGAAACTACACCCAACAATGTTATGGGGAGATTACTTTCTACCACTCCCACCATCAACGCTCTCTGAGCAAACATGAACAAATCAGCAAGCAAGTTTTCTGGATTGACCTGTCAGAGTTCTCCTCCCTCCTATACATCCAAAACCAGGACCACCAAACTAAGTACTCTGATCTACTCTCCTGAGACTACTCTTCATCGCTTTTAAGTATCCCCCACAGAAATATCTCAGCTTCCAGAACTGTCAACAGAGGTATTATCACTGCCCATAGGACTTAATTCAGTTGCTTAAATAATGGTTTAAAGAACCACTGGTGATGTTTTAAGATGTTTTGCGTGGCCTTCAGCTCACTCCAGAAGGACATAGATTTACTCTAGGCCCTATGCTATAACCAACAACCATATCTACATATCTCAGGATGAGTTAAATAGCTCGCTGAAGTACACTGATCGCACTGAGGAGATCCTCATAGATTGGGAAGGGGATCATAAATAGGAAAGACATAAACAGGTTCAGCTAACAGAAAAACAGCATCATGTTACTGTGAAGAATTTAAAGGAAATTACCTGCACCTTTCTCTACGAAGCCATCTATGTGGAAAGGATTGGAAGCAAGCTGGATGCATTACCTGACATTTAGTGTGTATACTTTTAAACTGAGTCCTTCTGGAGTTTTAATACTTTATATTTTACTTTTCTCATTGTCGCTAACACATCCATCCCACCCTTTTGCCCCTGAAGAAAGAAAGGTGTGATATTTGGGATGAAAAGGGAAGTTTACCATGGTATTTCGTCAGGGGATTCATCTTTCTACTAGTAAGGAGTAGAACATTTTGTGCTCCTACCCATAAAACATTTCTTGTAACGGTCAGAACGGGTCAGCATCAAGAGACACAGAAACACTTACACAAAGTGGCTTGAATGGCTCCCTCCTCCCTCTTGAGATTTCAATTTATGGACTAGAATTCTGATCACGTTAATAAATATAATAAAGTTAATCTGAAAAGACAAGACAGACTCTGTAAACTTACTACAAACCAGAACATACGTCTGTTTGACACAAATTAACTAAAAATGCCCAGTCATGGGAATTGCTTTGCTATAAACCAGTACAGATCTGCTCACAAATCAATAACATTAGAAATAGTATTCTTTTTTCCCACTGACATATTGATATACATAAAGATATGCCAAAATTATGTTGAATTAATACAGACCTGCATATCTCAAAATCATTTTATGTCTGATATTGACTCCTTGTACTTGTTGTCAGCACCTAGCAAATGTTTAAAAGTCTAAATAGCCCACCCTGTTTCTTCATTGTCTATGACAAGTTTCATAACACATACAGATCTATATGACATAATATTTGCTCCTTAAATTTATATAGAATAAATGTATGCATTGAGAATTTTTGTCTTAAGTTTGCATCCTAAGAACTCATTTTAAAAATATACTAGATAAAATGATCTGTATGTATTTATTGTATTAGACCAGCTACGTATTACCTAAGAACCTTGCGAGTATGGATTGCCTTTCTTCAGAAATGACTTACAGAGCACATGCATGACTGTGGTATGTGGAATGCGGGTGTCAAAATGATTCCATTATACCCTAGTAAGACTCTAGAAAATATAGGAATTACCCTTTAGGTTATGACTTAAGGTGCTTTGGAGGGGAAAAAAAACCAATAAAAACAACAAAACCACATGTTATACAATAATTTTCAGCTATTTGAAATTCAATACTGTGCATGTACTGTTGCTTTTCTCCCATCTTACTGAAAGGAGACACTAACTTAACTTTCACACTTCCAAAGATACTCAAGACAAAATGAAAAAAAATCCCAACATACTAATACAGTTAGCAGAATGGGGCCTTTGATGATCCATAACACCACTCCATTTTCATCATCATCCCAACATCTGAAACAGCAAACAAAAACAATCATTTTATCTGTCCCATGTGAGCTCTCCACAATACATGAAAATATTTCTGTCACAGAATAGGAAAGTGATGGACGCTAATGTTTAAATCACTGTTTAAAGGCCCTTAACAATACTGGTACCCTGATACCTCTCTAAAAGTTTATTCAGTAAGAGGCAAGGTTTGAAGACTCAAAGCAAAGTCAAGAAATGCACATTTGTATTTGCAGGCTTATTTCCTGCTCCTCTGTTTAAAAAATGACTCTTTTACAGGGTACGGATCAGAGACTGAACGCCTGTGCATCCACAAATGTAATGTCTTAGGGATCAGGAGGAAACAGGCCAGAAAAATCTGAAGACTTAGTAAAAGTAGCCTGAAGGGAGAGAGCAGAACGAGCTTTTGGTCCCTGTTTTGAGGCTATTATGTATTTAACATCAATAACAGTCCAGTTTAACACCCTCTAGTCAAGTGTCATATATCCCAGGTTATATCATGCTCCCTTTTCCAGAATTTTCCTTTCCATTTTCATGACAAGGGATATTTGGCTGAGTAACAATAAGGCTTACAGAAGGTGGCTTACCCCATTATACCCAATGTAAGGTCTACTTTTGCAATGTGAGCAATGTGACTTCAGACCAGCTCTGTCTGAAGAACTTGGGTTTCCCATTTATTAGACTATTAGGTAAAAGACCACAGAGTCACAAAATGTCAGGGGTTGGTTGGAAGGGACCTTGAAAGATCATCCAATCCAACCTCCCTGCCAAAGCAGGATCACCTAGAGATGAGTGGTTCCAATACTATAGTTAGTTCATATGTCTGCTATTAGAAGAACAAACAAATGGAGGATCTGCGATGAGATTTATCTGACTGTATAGATGCCTTCATTTGATCTATTCAGCTACATTTTGTTTGCAGTCAAAGGACATCAGTATAGCAGGACATAATCTCATCTTAAAGTAGACATCTAAAATACATCAGAGAAGTAAACTGTGCAAGTAGGCAATTTTCTGGAAGAGCACCCAAAGTTTAGACACTTTTCAGCCCACTCTTTAAGCCTCTGAGACCTTGCCAGAGCTCTTGCTCCTGCTCTCCACCTTTCTCTGAACTCTCTCTGTAACTGGAGTATCTTGAACCGATTCTTCTGCTACAGATCCAACAGATAAACCCAGCAATTCTTTGGAAGAGGAGCAGTGGGAAAGGAGGAAGAATGAAATCTTCCTTGTACCTCTCCTGGCTACAAAAAGGAAGAACGGGATGCGGAAAGGTAGAATACTCCCACTTACGAAACAGGACAAGAGAGAACTTCTTCTGCAGATGTTCTCCAGTAATATGAAGAAAGGACAATAGGATGTACCTCTGGTTTTTATATCTATTTTTTCTCCACCAGAAATTCAAAATGCAATACAGAGCAGGATGTCCTTGGCTTCCATATCCAAGATCTTATTTACCACTTACCCAGTGTTTTGTTGATGGATTCTTGTGAGGACCCAAGCAAATATCACAACAGTGGGAGCTCCTGGACAAATCAACATGGAACACAATATAATTGTTTTGACTACCGTGTCCCATGGAAACTATATTCCAAGAAGGTTCACAGTGTGCAGCAAATTGGATGTATGTTAAAAGTCAAAAAAATGGATCAGACAATTTTAAATGACTTTATGAAAGAGCTTAACTTATAGTTCAGGGAAAGAAAAAGACAAGTGAAAAGAGGCAGAGGAATGAAATAAAAACAAATGAGAATAGGAGATGCTGTGAAACTATGCTTTCGAAAATAACAACTAAAAATTACTTCAAGGTTTTGATATGAGCACTTGTAATGTTACAAAAATCTCTTATTTAGCTAGAGCTCTTTTTTCTTATGAATTGTATACTTTTTGCTCACTAGCTGGAATAGTTCATATTTTTGCCCTGAGCGGCCTCTACTAATCACTTTAGACCCATCAGTTGATGAGCATTTTATGAAAATTTAGTAAATCCAGGAACTGATGATTTCTAGCTTCATTGTGCCACTGCTTATCCTTCTACATTTATGACCGAATAGTTGTTTCCTTTTTTTTTCTTTTTTTATTCAAGCAGGCCTATAAACTAGCAATTGCTTTTGGTCTACTTCTGTAGAATTGCATTTCCAAAGACTAAGTGACTATCAAAGCTGCCACAAAAGGGACTTTAATCTGAAGAAGGTGACATTTTCACTGGTAAATCTATAGTAATACAGGTAATGTCTTTCTAGGTATCAGTTGAGATCTGTAGGAAAGATCCAGAAGTTGTCTTTCCCAGTTTTAGACCTTGTACAAGGCCTTTAAGCGGGGACCATATTTGGTTCAAGCTGTCTTTTTAATTAACAAAGAGAAATATTTACACCCCCATCACCTAAGATCTGAGTTGTCCCTGAGATGTCTCTTAATTTCCATTGATTATAGAAGGAGATGAGGTTTTACCTTTGCTGTCTCAAGTTAGCTGTGATTAATCAAGGTCTGTTTAGTTTCAAGCAGTCGTGATTGGAATAGCTTCAAATCAACATACTTTTTATAAAATTCAGCCTTTAAAAATTTAATTACATTGAAAAAAGAATGAGAATACGAAGATGAAGGATGATTACTATTTACTTCAGGAGAATTTGGCCAAAAATGTCAATATAACTGCTCAATTTGGGTGTCTCTATTTCAGTATAGCCAAGGTGAGTTACGAGAATATCTGAGAGTCACAGTCAACAAGTTTCTGTTGTGAAAGGTTGAGCATTACAAGAATGTATTCTGACAATCAGATAATTTTAATTGCTATATAAACTCAAAAATCAATATAACTGCTCAATTTGGGTGTCTCTCTTTCAGTATAGCCAAGGTGAGTTACGAGAACATCTGAGAGTCACAGTCAACAAGTTTCTGTAGTGAAAGGTTGAGCATTACACGAATGTATTCTGACAACCAGATAATTTTAATTGCTATATAAACTCAAAATATTCCTTAAAGCCAGAAAATTGTTTGACTCCTAGGCCTGAGCGCACGTAGATTAAGAAGAATCTACTTAGTTCTGCTTACTAAAAGTAAAATGTCAACTTAATTGCCCTAACTTCTTCAGTTATTGGAGGAAGGCAACACGTAACTAGGATGTTATCCAGCCACATTACCCATCTTCTTGAGGACATGCACACCTCACTACTGACTGCAGGAGAAACCTGGAGAGACAGTTAAGATTAGATGGCTAACTTTTAAATTGCTGAAGTTGAATGAAATTAATTCCAGTCACTGGGGCAAGTCCTGCACTCTTTCAAGGAGACTTATCGTAGTGCTTCTAGTAATCAATCCTATCCTTCAAAGTTTTGATTGGTTAAATATCTAACAAGATAAAAAGGGAGAATAATGCTATGGTTTTGGTGTAGTAGTTGATGAATGGGCAACTTTCATCAGAGAGGTGGCACCTTTGATAGGCACCTTTTCTCTCAGAACAAATATTCTATGTATTTCTGGAAGTTCATAGAAATATTAAAAAAAAAAAAGAGGAAAAAGGTACTAACCCCAGCCAGTAAAGATGAACCACCATACATACTGTTTGTCTGAAACAAAGGTCAGCAAAAGCAGTGTTTGCAGGTATATCCCTTCTATAAGAAGCCAGAAGAAATTGGCTAAAATGCTGAACTGAAAGAATGCCACAGCAGCTTTACATGCAACCTGAAAATGCAGAGGAAATAGAAACTGTTAGGTCTACTCTCCATTGTGCCTGGTTTCTCTAAAAGTATAGGCAAAATTCAATGTTACTACACAAGAATGAAGAAATTGTTACAAGATTTCAGTAGGTTTGAGATTCCATCATTTGTACTGACTTTACTTCATTTTTTTGATAGGGAAACATTGACCCTCTCTTACAAATGAAATTCATTACTGATAGTGATTGTTACAACTTCATTACAGTCAACAAACCTCTACGTTATATCTCAAAGCTGAATGTAGCCATAGCACTTGATCTTTGGGTTTTCATAGTGTTGTTTGTTTTAAGATTTCAGTTCCAGAAAACTAAAGAGAAATGGAACTAAGAAAATTCCACATTCTCTTCAGGTCAAGAATCAAATGTTAGATCAACAATAAGAGAGAAGGGAAGTTTGGTACCGTTGACATTAGGCAGTGGTCCATTGTTTCATCTGCAAATAAAACAGCATCTTTGGTGAAAACAGCAACTGCTCTCAGGATAAAGGACACAAACAGGTGCATATGGACATAATTCCGTGTACAGTGGAATTTTCTGACATGAAAAGAGAAAACAAAAATTGTTCTTCAGGAGAAATTTCTCATGATCTCCTCAAAACTCAGCCAGGAGTACAGGGTGAATTCAGAGACCTTCTAAAGCAAATAAATCATCTATCACTTTTTGAGAGGGAGCTAGACACAGGGGAGCTGGGCAGTTATTATCTGTTTAAGCTCATAAAAGTGCTAGTATACTTGTCCTTGAATTACCACATGTTTAAAGGAAATAGCAGAAGCAGAAAGTCACTCTGGGACTCTTGGGCTGTATTGTAATAATGCCTTTTAATTATTCTAAGTAGTATATTTTTGTTGAACAAGCTTGCAAGCAGGCCTTTCAGCCCCTTTCTGGCCAGAGGGGAACAGAATATTGAGGGGGCGTCAGTCTCATGTTGTGGGATGGCTGCCAAAGTGTCTGCCTTACCCTAGGCTGCATTTCCCTGGATTGCCCTGTCCGTGGTTTGATCTTGAGCTAGAGGAATCTCCTTCAAGGTTTGGACATATTAATCTCTTGATTTTGGGTCCCTTTATAAGTCATGACCTTTGAGACTGCAAATCCACTCTGATTAGGAAGCTTCTGTGCTCTGCACTTTTGTTTGCAGACTAAGCTTAAGGCTTTTGTACAAGTGCGTTGAAACTAAATAAACTCAGGATCCATGCCCTAATATCTGACATCATATAATATGACATTAAATTCCTTTAGATCTCTTCCTATAGCTCCCTATTCTGGAAGTGATGGTCTTCTACAGAGGGAAGGGACAGTTTAGAATTATTGCTTGTTCACAGGCATGAGATGCTCTTTCTGCAGAGTGTGTCCTGTTATGCACTGGAGGAATAGTTATGTTAATAGTGATAACAGGTTGGAACATTTCCTCTATATGATGTCATTAACAAGACTGAGACAGACTGCCCAGCCAGCTTCACTTTTTTAACATCTCCAGAGAAATGTTACAACATGAATAGAGAAGGACCTATTTGCATCAACAACATTATGTCTGAGAAGGATTTGAAAATAATAGTAAATATAATCTCACAAAATAAAAGCACACAGGATTTGAGAGGAATTAGGATAAGACTGTCTTAAGACCTCCAGAAAAAGAAACCTTTTTTTTTTTACCTGAAGGCAGCAAAGACAATTAGAGCTGTAATGAGTGAAGTCACTGATGCTGCATAGCCAGCAGTGTAGACACGCCAAAATGCAGAATAATATGATTTCTATGAGAAAAAGAGAACACAGACCAATGCTGGTGGTTATGCAGCATGCATGCCGGCGTGCTTATTTCACTAAGATACATTTTCTCTTACCACTCAGTCCCATCACCTATGTGCTGCTTTGCATGCTTGAGATCTGTTTCAGATTTTTCCCTCTAACACATCTTTTTTCTTTTGAATCCTATATAGCGTTACAGATGAGAGAGCTTCCACAGCCTACAGGTTCATCTGAGATAGTGACTGCTTTGAGCATGTTCAACAGGAAAATGTTAACTTTGTTAAGTAGCTGCATTTTCTCCTTTGGGTACATAAAAACTTTAGGGCACTGAAATCTGCTGAGGGGTGATTTGTGAATCCATCATTTTAGAACTGGGCCAGATTCAATAAGTATTGGTCTCCATAAACAGTTATAGGAAAAAGAGAAATAAAACTTGTATTTTATGGTGAGGAAACTGAAACAGTGTGAAACAGTCGTGTCATATTGTGGAGGCAAGAAAGTTAAAGCCAAGAAAGTAATCTCACAGTCTTTAATTCTTTGGGCAAACAGTTCATTCACTTGCCATATACTGAATATACTTTATAGTTCCTTTGTTTATTTGATTGCTTTGCATATAAATGGTTGGGCTGAAAGGTCTTAAAGACCTTTTCCAACCTAAATGCTTCTAAAATTCTGTTCTAAAGATCCTGTGCCCTAAGAAAAATGAAGCATGTTTACACTGCCTTATCTATGCAAATTTTATTCTGATTCACTACAAGATCACTTCATTATTTAAAATCCCAAGAAACTACGTTCTCTGAATCCAGGCAAATTTCTTTCTTGCAAATACAATGGACATTTTGTTCCCTAATTGATCCAAACTGTGTTTATCCAAAAGGTAACAATTCTAGGTTGAGACAACTGATTAGCAATTTTAAGTAGATCCATAAATAAACCATGCAACCCTGACAGCCTAGGAATCATCCTGATGTTTCTGGAACAGTCCTAATCTTTTATAAAAGGTTTTCAAACCTAGGTGAAAATTAAAAAATAGGTTCTTTAACTGAACACTCTTCAATTGAACAATGAAGTATTTCAATGCTCTGAAAGAGGGTAAATTTAGATTAGGTGTAAGGAAGAAACTCTTCACTGTGAGGCTGGTGGGACGTTGGCACAGGTTTCCCAGAGCTGTGGAAGGCCCCTCTCTGGAAGTGTTCAAGGCCAGGTTGGACGGGGCTTTGATTAACCTGATCTAGTGGGAAGTGTCCTTGCTCATGGCCAGGGTATTGGAATGAATTAATCTTTAAGGCCCCTTCCAACTCAAACCATTCTATAAGTCTGTGATTTTATCTTTTTGTACAGTAGCGAAAAGCACAATACTCTATGCAGAAGGCACCATAAGTCCTCACTGCAGATTCAAAACAAGTGATTCTCTTATATTCTAAGTGGGATGCTCTTTACTTACTTCCCTATGTTTACAATGCAGTAGAGGTTACTGATCTTATCTTCCTTTTATAGACCTTGTGGGTTTGACCAGAATAACAAACTAAACACAACTGCAACACAGACATAAGCTCTGCCTTGAAATCTTCCATAAAGATAAAATGTAAATACAGCCCTTTGCTTGACTTCAGCCTAGGCCAGCTATAAATTATGCCTGGTTTAGCACAAGCCAGGGAAGAAAGTCACCCTGGCAAATAAGGGGGTTTATCTCTGTGGGTAAGAGCCATGCCTTCCATTGTATTAGTTCTACATCCCTTCTGAACTGATTTCATGGTTTCTAGCATATTTCTGGAGATTCTTATAGCATCTATCTTTCAATCTTCCCCACAGAACAAAGTACAAACACTTTTGGTTTATGGGGGGGTGATTGAGCTGCAGATATTTATACTACTTGTCTAGATCTATGCCGTTACAGCTGTGCTTGAGTTTCTAAGTTCATGGAGATAAATGGCTGAAGCCAATTGTGTTTACACTTCCTAAAGATTCAGATATCTGAACTAGGGCTTCTGTGCTTGATCTTGCATGCCTGAAGAACCAAATGGTTTACTCCAGACAACACCCAGAGTGTCAGTGATGACAACCCTCTCCACCTTTCTGTGTCTTGCTTTCACCTGTGACAAGTGACCTTTTCCCACTGCTGAGTCATGTCTACACAGTTACAAAGAGCTACCTAATTAGTCTTTTCTTTCATAGATTGGAGGGAATCTGTTGCTTCTATCAAAATACCACAAGAGGAGGAGGAAGCAGTCATATAGCACATCTTGCATTTGTGCAAGATGTGTGAGCCTTTTCTGATATGGCCTGGAGATGAGGAGATGGAGACAAACTTTTTGCTGAAACTGTCCCATTTAACAAAGATCAAAACTTAAAGTCAGAGGCAGCAAAGCAAGTATGTCTCTGTTAATCAACAATCTTCAGTCACAAGATAAAGTTCACTACCGAGGCACTGCTAGCCACCAACGAATTGTGAAGCAGTCCTTTCCTGGGGCCAAGTATGATGATGAGGAACAAGGAAATTTAAATCATATGGAGATGTGGGTGAAAAAGAAATGCTGCTGGAGCCTAACTGAGTACCAATGATGGTCATCAGATAGGAAAAATAGAAGTCCACTTCATACTCCACTGAAAACCTAAGATAAAGTGTAGAAATGCTCAACAGCATCCAAGAGGTCTCTCCTAAAGATGTACATTGACCATCATGTTATAAAGTTATGGAATCTTTTTTCCTCAGAATCAAAGAAAATATTGAAAAAGATCAGCAGGAGGGATCCAAAGGAATTTTCTCTTAAAAAAATCCCCCCAGATAGGTTCGTGGACCTTCCTCAGAAGACAGATACATGATGACCTCTGCCAGAGAATAAAAGTCTTTTTTAGGCAGGACAAGTGAACTAATAATGAGTCTGCTCATTAAAAAGAGAAGACTGGATGAAGACCAAAGTGCTAGCTGTTACTCCCTTGCTTTATATTAAGGCTAATTTATTAAACAGGTTCTGAATATACGTAAAAGAGTTGAGCTTATCACTGAAGATGGATAACCACTGAGCACACTCATAAGATGGTGCTCTGGAGTTGTCCACAAGCCGGAAATGAAGAACTCACCTGGTCTTCAGGCCCTTTACTGGAACCTTCATCAAATCCACAGGCAACAGTGTATGGTGGGAATGGTTCTGACCAGTATGCCTCCTGCGTACAGTTCCTCTGAAGGAAGCCTTTAATGGCAAAATATATTGGAGAACGAATTGTAGAAGAAGGAGGGGTTGTTCTTTAAGTTTTGATGAGAAACAATACTTTGGATGAGAAAAAACAAATTTTTAATCCTACTTTGATTCTTAAGTTTGGCACTTACAGGTCCAGTCATGTTCAGCAAGATTAGCTATAGAATTATAATACTCTCTGTGTCTGTCCGTTGAAAAGTTGAGACAGATGTTCCCATTAGTTTCAAGATTTCATACAGGAAATTCATTCTGCAAATTCAGTTCTCATGAAGAGGAACTAAAATCATGCAGTCCATCCTGTATTCACTTTGTAATTGGTGCTTGTGGACAAAACCCTGAGCCATCTGATCTAGCTTTGAAGTCAGACCCAATCTTTGAACTTGGTCCTGCTCTGGATGGAGGATTGCACTAGATGACCTCAAGATGTCTTTTCTATCAATAATTGTTCTATGACTTTATAAATCAGTGATTCTATAACATACTTATATTTTTTTATACGAAACAAAAGCATACCAAATATTGACTATAAGGCAGGATATGTATCTGGATAATTACTGAACTCACATGAAATAGCATTGTGAATCATTAAAATGTGCAAGTTACTGAATCTCTTACCAATTAAAATTTATTTTTAAAGAATGTATAGCAATAAAAAAAACACAATAAAAACAATCCTTGCCATGGATATTGGTGATTTCTTCAAAAAATCTTGGGCAGGGAACTTCAACTACTTCTCCAAAAGCAGCTCTGGGCCAGCAGGTTAGACCATCCCAATCTCTGGTGCACCCTGAAAAAAAAATAGTGCCTCTAATAACCACACAGAGACCACACAGCTGATCTTTGTAATCAGATTGCCTGTGGCTTTCCCACTAATTCACATGCAAAAAGAGCCACAACTGGACGTGCAGCTCTGCAAATGAAGGACTGTATTGTTTTCCTCTTCTCCTTGAATGCATCCTCACTCACATATGCACTTGGCATTCCAGCTGGACCTGCCCCCACCTTATCTCTTGAGAGAATGTGCCTGAAATTCAAATAGACACAATCTGAAAGTCAGATCAGCTGGAGCTTTTTCTATTGTGAAAACAAAAGTCTCCAAAATCAAAATACTGCATAATTATTAACACTTGAGATTTCTCATTACTGGTTTTAGAGCCTAACTGAAACTAACATCAGACTTAAAAATTCAGCGTTAGTCTCTTGATTCTATGCTTAAAGTCTATCAGCATTATCCAACTCAAGGGAGTGAAATCCTGGGGTTAGGCAATCAATGCCATTTTTACAATGGATTTCGACAGGAATTAGATTAATCCCAAACTAGAAGGACATCTCCCATCACCATATAAAATAACAAGCATCAGGAGTAGTTTTGACTGACTAGCACTGACAAGGTTCCCTAAACCTGAGATTACTAGCTAGTGAAGCAGGGCATCCTGTTAGCTACAAGTCCAATAAAAAAGGAGTTTCAGAAGGAGTTAATCACAGCTCTGTCACGGATTACACTGAGACTCAAACTGTGGTCACGCAGTGGCTATTGGCAAGTAGGTGTCAGTGCAGCACAGAGAAATTATCAACATGTAAAGGTGCCTGAACCAATAAAAAACCCAACATGCTTTAACTGAATCTAATCTCTAGGTGGTCATAACGAGGTTATAAAACAGTGTACGAGTTTCATTTGGGACATGTTATTTTCTTTCACTGATTCTTTGTTGTTTCCTCTATGAAGGATGATAAGGCAAATCTAAAATTATCAAGAGCTGTAATGTGGAAGCAATATAATTTGTCCGTAGCTGAGCAAAGTCATTCTCTGGTTTCTGACAGGGTAGTCTTGAGAATCTTCCACTACATTGTCCTAACGTCACCTTTGGGAGGATGAAACTCCTGGTATCTCCAATTTGCAAAATGGAAAAATAGTACCTCTGATTCATTATCTCTGATTTTAATTGTCTAAATAAGTTAGCTCACCTTAGCCGTGTTCCTTCTGCAATGAGTAGAGAAGAGACAGGGACTTTCAGTGCATGATTCATCCCCGATACTGGTGGCTCCTTTCTGAGAACAGGATGAATCACTTGCTACAAATACCTTTATCTCTGATGATTATAGCCTAAACCCAGCTGCTAGTTTTCAAATTAATGAAGGCAGGTAATATGAGTCCCACTTAGACATGCAGTGGCCCACACGCTTAGGCTTACTGGCTTAAAGGGTCTATAGGACCTTTGACGAGTAGGCTATAAAAATTTATTATATTTGGCAATGCAGGGTTAAAAAGAAGAATCGGGTGATACTATTTAAGAGTGGAACCTGTATGCTTTAAGTCTTAGAACTAACTTAATTTCCAGTGACTTCTAGAGTTTATATCAAAGAAATCATTGAGTGCAGTGGCAGAAAAAACATTTTACATGCTGACATTTTCAAAAGACTAGGGACTGTCCAAGTCACCCGAGACTCCATAAAGACAACTGCAGTAGGAGTTATATCAAGTAAGGATGACATCATAGATATTTGTCTTTTTCAGTAACCCAGGGGGTTTATTTTTGCTTTTTCTTTCTTTTTTTTTTTAAATAATGGAGGAAATTAAGCATTTTTAGAGATTTAATCAATTGACTTGTATTACACGTGTACTTCAAGGTAAGAGGAATTTCACCCCGGCCTCAACTGATGACACTCATTAGACACTGTTCTGTACAACAAGAATGTGGAACTACTTTAGATTGAAAAGTCTGCAACATAGTTTAATTCAACCACATATTGTCTGTGGCTACCAAGAATAAACCCTGAACGAACTGTGATCCTTCAGTTTTTCTCATCCAGTTCCTGAGAACTGGAATGCAAGCTAGGGATTTTTACCAGCCTTAATTTAGTTTTAAAACACACCAGATCAAATATTGAGCATGAATTGTTTTTCCAGATCTAATGCTTCATTTTAAAATATATTGCAAAAGGTTGTAAATACCAGAAGAGATTTTTATTAAAGTCTTTCCATCTCTACAGAATAAAAGGTGGAAAGGAGATCTTTGAGAAGATCTGAGTTGACAGTTTTTAAGATTTTTAAATAGTTTAACAAAATTTTAATGGATTTTTATTTCTTTGAGTAGCCTTTGCTACCAAGATGATTCCAAAATCATCTACTTATTTTTCTGGTAAACAGAAAACCACTTGTAATGTCATGCTCTAATGCATATACTAAATTATTATCAAACCCACCTGATTTAGGGGGCTGGTTAGCTCAGTGGTTTGAGCGCGGTGCTGACAACAATGATTTTTGCCATAATGTTTTTGGGTGGGTTACTGGATGTTTTGTATACAAGATGTGTCCAGGAGGTATTCTGGACTTGATTAAAATGTTGTGGGGGAATACCACTAAAATAGAGTAGGCAAGTACAAGAAGGTCCTGAGACATTAGAGTGATCAGAAGGTCTGCAGAAAAATAAATTTCAGTAGGTTGCTAAAGGCAGACTTCCATTTGGTTGCAATATTTATATTCATACCAAGTGCATGAAGCAACTTTGTCTTGTAACTCCTCTGTAGAAAATGAACATATGATAATTAATGTAACTGAAAAAGTCTTACTGAAGTGGATTCATACTTTTCAAAGCAAAGTTGGCCATAAATAAATATGCCTGAACTTTTGAAAGAGTTTGAACATTTTGAAATTTCACTCTGAATTATTTCAAAACATATCTCCACAATGTCAAAAAACAGAAAAAGAGAATCCTCCACACAGCACTTAAAAAATATTTTACAGCCTCTCTGAAATGTTCATCTGAATTTTCAGAATTTATATTTGAGCATGTAATAGCTTTAAAAACACCAGCACAATAAATCTTTTCAAACAAAGAATTTAGAAATTTCTGAAAATGTAGAAGTAGAATATTTTGAAGAAATTGAGCATAACTTTTTCTTTAATTTTTTTGACAAAAAACATTTTCACCAGATTGAAATGATTCCCAGCACGATATAAATTCAGCGTGCTTTTTATTTTCTTCTATGGAAGCTTCCTTGCAGGTTTGGATGTAAGTAAAGAACAAGTGTAATACATTTCAAATAGAGTTTTCAAGCTCTAAACATCTAAACTTGTCAGGGTCTGAACTAACCATCTTAGTCTCATTCTGTAATTAGTAAATCATTCATCTCATTCTAAACAAAGCATCTAAACCAGAGGTAATGACACATGTTCTAGGGGCAACCATCTTCCTTATTTCAAGGGAACCTAAGAAGACAAGTCCTGACTTAGACATGGACCTTTTAAAGATGTCTAAAATGAGATGAGATAAAGTCCTAATCTATAGAAACAGCACTTAAAACTATCAAGAAACCAAATAAAACAGGTAGCAAATCTTGACTCAGGAGAACAAATTTTATCTTGACATTGTGCCGCTGAATTGACATGCAAAGGCTATGTGTACCAGAGGTTAAGAGTCAGGGCCGTTACCTTTAAGGTCAGGTGGAAGAGATTCATTCTTTTCCAAGCAGAGAGCCTCTTCTTTGAGCACCTGCTGGAATATCTTGCATTCTGGATGAATTCCTGCAACCTTGATGAGAGAAAGACAAAACAAACCACAGTCAATGTTATTTTCCTGTGATTACCAGAATGAGAAGGGCAGTTTCTTTCCAGTTTCTACTTCATGGACGATACTTTGGGTTCTAAGAACGTGAAAACTCTACATGCAGGTTTTTCTGCAGATCGGACTTGTAAACGGCAGAAGGAGGTTGTGATCTTGTAGATTTTTTAATTTGTGTATGTGTCTGGATATGTATAATCATTTAGATTCTTCAGTGTATCATAATAGTCAAGCTCATGTAGCCACTCGTCTTCAATCTGGACGTTTATACTTAAAGGGATCTGACAGCCTTGCATCTCCATTTTTTTGTAAACTGGATGAATGTCTTTGTCAATTGGATGAATCTATTTAGCTATGGGATCTAGAATATGGGGATGTATTTGTCAATTGGATAAATCTATTTAGCTATGGGAATATTCACACTGAGTGCCCCAAACATACATGCAGTTTGATCATATACATACTTCTTCTATGTAAAAGAAATAAGAAAAACCCGTATTTTTAAAGAAATATAAAAGTTGGAGGTTATTTTGGTTAATTAGTTAGGTAATTATCTTGGTGTTCAGAACTACTCATTGGCAAAATAGTCCTGTTTAGATTCTTGGGAACTCCCAAGAATGCTTTCTTTGCTGGGGGAATGAGTATGACAAGAAAGCCTTAATTACCCTTTGGGAGGGTGTTCCTACTCCGCTTTGATTTTGATATCGAGAGAATGAGTTCCTGGTCTTCTATGAAACCTTGACATTATAAAGCAATACAAATCATTCTACTAAGAGAGCATGGTGTAAGCTCTTCCCTTCTGAATGCATTTGGTATAGTTATAAAAATAAGCAAAAAATAGGAATGGAACTTTTATGTCCATTGGGGCTTAAATAAGAAATAATGAAGTCTAAGAATTTAATGAAAATAGATAAAATGATAGCCTTGGTTATAGTTTACCCTGAACAGTTACAAAATGTTATCAACAGATTATCTGAGGATGCTATACACTCCCTTGCAGTCCTGCATCATATCTGCTGTGACTGTGAAGATATTCTTCACATCCTAGAACATCCCAAAATGATTGCCTCTGGAAAGGCAGTTGAATTCTGAGAAAGAATGTACAATGTCAGTGTCTGCATGTGATCTTGTTATCTGAGCTTCTTTTGTAGTCCAATGAAATTTAGAGGATGTCTCACTCACCCAGGAATGGTCATTCAGGATGCTAGAGAGTGTCTCAGCCCTCTTGTGTAGATTCTGCGTTAGTTTTGCTGGCCCTGTCTAGAAGTCTCGGACACTTTATTTGATGTTTCAAATACTCCTACACAGCTGCATTTAGGAAACTAAATTAAACCCAGAGTCAATAGAGTCTAGAAAGCAAGGGAACTGTACTCAGAGAAGTGAACACTGAGACAAAGCCTCTTTGGGATATTAGGATCTTCAAGCCATAGGGAGTCTTACATGGAATAGAGTAGGTTTGCTCCTCTGCAAGCTATGCTATTCAGACAATGCCAGGGGCTCAGGGGGTTGCAATTTTCATTGAAATGATGGATTGAAGTCTTTCTGAGACATTTCTGAGGAAGACTGTAGGCTGTTCTAAAACCTCTCAGGACTTTGAGAACACAGTATGGATGAAAACAGCACTGCTCTATTGCCTTTTCAGGCTCAGGAAATAGATTTATTGGCCTTCAGAATGTTTGCAGTGAGCAGAGAGACTTCTTTTAGCCTCTACAGAAACTTTACTGGACATCATGTAGATTATTGCATTTTAGCAATAATATCAGCCTAGGGGGAATAAAAAAATAGAACACAACTTTATCTTTCAAAACCTTTAAAAATTCTGCCTACATTTGGGTTTTAAAGCAGCCTAGACAAAGTGCTTTTAATTATGAGGCCCTAGAGATAGTTCGTACATCCTAATATTAGAACAGAAAGAGGATTAAGGACACTGTTTGAAAAGAAAATTAAGACATCGCTTTTTTTTCATGCATTATGTTCCTCTAGTGGGTGATTTGAAATACATTTTGTAAATCAGCATGAGTGACTCCTAAAATAGTACTTGCTTTCAATTCTGAAACTTCAGCTTTCAATTCTGAAATTTAATTTTTAAGGTATTAATAGGATCCTTGCTCATTGCTTTGTATTTTAACATACATTTCACTTTGCATTCAGGTTACATAACAAATGATTTGAGTACTAGTAACAAAATGATTGCTACATAAATATCTTACTTTATAAAGATGGCTTCTGCTGGACAGGGAAGAAGTAATTTCTCTACTTTCTGGATTTTCTGGACTCTGTTACTGCTGAGAAACATTGTATCTGGAATATTCTTAGACTTGGTGTTTAAAAGTCATGACAGCTTAACCTGATGCTATACAACTTTCCATCTATACTCAGTCTTCTGATAAAAGAGGGCAACAGCTGGTCATAATGAAATCAAAAACCATGAAAGGAGATTTGAAATACCTTTGAAAAACAAGCGCTTGGGAGAGATACATTAACTTAACTCCTACCTCATGCCAGAGGTGCTAGGAATGGTGGAAGAAGACACACAATTAGTTATCAAAAGTTTCAGAGAAGGAAGGATTGTCTTTCTCCAAAAGTTGACTTTTAAGTACCACACACAGCTGATAAAGACGGAACATAAATGAAGGACTAAGAAACTGAATTCTCCCAAATGGTACATCAAACACTGAATATGTGTGCCAGACTCTGTTGCTCGAGGTAGGTTGCACCTCCTTTTCCAGCTTTTGTAGATCTACACTTGCTGATCCAGACCCTCAGTCACAATATTCAGCAGAATTGTACTGAAATCAGAGGAGTGCTATTCATTCACCGTGTCTGGGAAGTTCTACCTGTAGGGAAGTTGTCCTGCATTGATTTTACACACGAGAGAGGAATTACTGTGACAGATCAGATCCCTAGTCCATGTAGTCTAGACTCTCAAAGCATCAACGAACCACTAGAAAACATGATTTTATGATTTCTTCTGGAAATTCTGATCAACTGCTGGTGATGCTCACCAACAGTGAGACTGTAGTCAAACCCACTATTGTGGGGAAATAAGCAGTTCCTCAGTATGCTCAGATTTTGTTTGTGTCTGTGGTGGGGAGGGCTATAGCCGCCAGATTTCAGAGTTTTTTGAAGTAAGCCAATACATAAGCTAAATAATACTGACACTTCAGTATTTGAAAATCAACATCAAGTGCAATTGCAGATAAAAAACCATCCCATTTGCTGATAGATAAAAAGAATGACACGTATACAAGAAATTGAGAACAGTGATAATGCTTCAATTTTTTGGTTTTCCTCAGGCTTTAAGAAAAAGAAAGACTTTAAACCATTCCACAAAAAGCCTTCTGGGCAGAACATTACTTGTGATTTTTTGCCTATGGCTTACTTATTTTTTGTTATTAATCTCACAATGCCTTGAGAGTAAAGTGCATGCTGTTGCCCTTGTTTGCCTACAATAGTTATGTGATAGGGCTTTCTAGAAAATAGGGGCCGTACATGTGTTGCAGGGATATGGTATTGCAATTTGAGAGGCATCTGCCGTAACGACTGAACTCTTACAGACAGAGACTAACTCCTTTAAAGCTTAGAAAAGGAGAATTTAGGAACCAAAACAAAGCAGAGATTTCCTTCCAATTTGGCAGAATCTTCTCTGCCACAGTAATCAGAGGCAGCTTTAAAAGGCTGCTTCTTGCATCAACATTTCCTAGTATCTAGGCAGTAACCTGGCATGAACCTTACTGAAAAACACAGTGGGGTGCCTTCACCCCAAGGCTCATAGAGAAAACTCGGTGGTTTTTTGCAGTGTTGTAGACAGCACTCTGCACTGAGCTTGACATTGCCGAGCATCGTAACACAGAAATCTTTTCGCTGGCTTGAACGCTAGTGACCAGCCAAAATTCACAGGGACGTTTTAACTCTTAAGTCCCAACCACTCAAACAGTCTTGCCTGCAGCAAAACAATCACATAGTGAACATTAAAAAGTTACCTATGCCAGGCATGGTAAAAAACAGTTCAAAGAGACAGATTTTGGGCTTACACCTACTTTTATATTTCCTTAAGATCTGTAAGGTTATTGCATTGAAACCTTAAGTAGTACACTCACTGACAGCAAGAACAACATTGTTTTGTATTGCCTGTTACGTGATAGTTTATTTGCTTAAATATGAGCAGGAAAATCCAGGTAATGGCTCTCCAGGCTTTTATTTGCACATGATGGACAACATCAGACTTAGCAAACTCTGGGAAGAGTTTTCCTACAACATCCTCATTCCATACTCAGTGCCACTTAGAAGCAATCTTTCCTAATGCCCATCCAAAGATGGTGCCCCTAGGCTGCTGTGGTACTAGAAAAAACTGTAATTTACACATCACATAAAATACAGATCTCCACTCATTAAGAGCTCCATTAGCACACTTGAGGGAAAGTAGGGACATTTTCTATGCTCTCTCAAAACAAGGGAAGTGCTTCAAAGCTGGGCATCAAATATATCAGTCCCTTTTGAAAAAACCAGTTCAGTAGGATCAAAGAGACAGAAGTAAATTGGTAACACTTAGTTTTTGAAAATTAATCAAAAATCGAAGAAGTGGCTGAATTCATCAGCAATATGGGAAGGTTTCAAGAACTTGAAGGGTCTTTCCGGTGATCCTGTTTAGTTTTCGATGCCATGCAACTCTAACACCTCACGAATAGGTTTTTTGTCAAGTGCATAAATCATTTACTAAGAATATTCATCACTGTTCTTCTTACCTCTGTCTCTACTGCTTGCGTTTGTATTTCAGATCTCCTCTAAGATCTGCTGAAAATCATCTCTGTACTCCCTGTTCTCCCTGTCTGTGCTTCCCCTGTTCAGTTTTTCTGATATAACTCTGATGCCTGAATATTTCCCCTCTCCCTTACGCAAAACCAGTTGTCTGCCATTCACGTCACACGCTGACTCCCTGCTTGGAGGATTACAACTCACCTGGTATTTTAGGATGCAGAGAGGCAGAGGAAAGATGTTCAAAACTCCATTTATAACCATGGAATGACAGTCAGTCCTGAAAGTTGGCCAGTGATGCCAAAGATACAGTGCGGAGAACCAGGATATGCTTTGAAATACATGCTTTTTTTTTTCAACTGAATTTTTGATGAACAGGAAAGGTTCATAGGATGGAAGGAGGTTCATGGAAAATATTGAACACAAGTTGAATTACTGAAGAAGACATAAACCTCAGCCTTTTTCACAAACTTTTCAGTCTGTTGAATATATGTCATCCGGATCTTGCTTAATGCCTAACTCCTATCTGCATAATTCCTTTCTCATAAAGCTAAGTAATAATTAGAGAGCGTTGAGATTGGGAAATACAGGTCACCAAAGTCAGGGACAATTTTCACATGTGCTTTGAAGGGAGTTGTGACCAACCTCAAGCTCCAGAAGCTATTCTCCATTTCAGTACAGCTACATTCACAGGAAGGATTTCCCATACGCTGTGACTTATAAGTAATTGTGGAATATTTATAATATATGTAGTATTATGTTCTGTCAGAAAACTGTAAGATACTATAAAAAATAACCAAGTATTTCTTACTCAGCAGAAGTCCACCACTCAAATTTGCTTGCAAACATAGATGAAAACCCTCTTTGTTTCTACCAAATCCAGGCCATATTTGCCACTCTTAACTTGGACTGACTGTAAAGTATGAGGTCACCACAGCAGTGACATGATTCCAGTTACCAGTAATGTATTTAGTTAACATAGGTAGTCCTGCCCTCAACTTTCAAGCTCTGTCTGCCTCAGTCTTGATCTCAGAATCCTTTAACCCCAGTGGTAAAAACCTATTTCCAATCTTTCTCAGATTTCTCTCATCAGGCACCTAAATAGATTACTTCAGGAGTCTTTTTGGCTGAAAATGAGTACCTAGAGGACATTTTCAGTGTTTGTTTTCTCTTTCTAACTTGATTATGTATGGAACAAGAGAAGCTGAGACACTGATTGCCTTACAGTCATTTAGAGGAATATCTTTTCCAGATTGTTTTTAAGACATTGGAGTAATGCTTGAACGCTCCTCTGTGTATTGGATTGTATTTATCTGGCTATATTTAACTACATAGCCTCATACAGAACAGTACTTGCTATACATACATATCTGTGTATGTCAATATATGTGTTTACGAATATATATTCAGTATGTGACAATACAAACATATTAATTGATTTTGTTTATAAACCTTAAGGAATCCATATTAACTTGAGAAAAATGAAACCAAATTTATTAGCTCTGTGCTAAATTTTGCAGAGCATTTAACTACCACTAATACTTAAAGAATAACAGAAGACTAATAACTGAGGATCTCTGTTTTCTGCTCTTTTAACTTTCCCCTAATTAAAGAGAAACTTCTCACTTTCTGCAAGTGTAGCATATTTGCCTAAAGCTGAGGGTCATACCATCTAATCCTAAAGAGCTGAAACCTAGATGTCAGGGTCCGTCAGAAAGTTCACTTAGATGGAGCTATAGCCATTTTTTCTGGTGTGTTTCCACCTCCTCCCAGTAGTATTGAAGGAGGCCAAATGAGAAGCTTTAGACAAGATTCCTAATTTTAGATAGATAATTTTAGATGATTAATCTAAACTCCCCCATCAAGCCTCCCTTAATCATCAATAAAAACAGACAAACCGTTCCAGGGAAGGATTCCTCCTACCTCTCTCAGACTCCTCTTTGAGGACAGAGTGACTCACCATAAAGGAGTCTGTTTCCCTTCATTAACTCCCTCCAGGCTAACGAAATGCCCCAACGGACCGATTCTTCTACATATCCAGTTCCCTATGGAGGGAAATTTAAGGTATGCAGGGACCGGATCCCTAGAAGAATTATTTATGCCCCTCCAGCATGAATTTGTCAAGAGTAGCTGTATCAGAAAACCAGGCACTCAGCTGTGTTTTATTGGGAGCTCAGCATCTTCCTACAGATTTGGATGCATGTGCCTATTGCTGCAAGAAATGTTTTGTTAAAGCAAAAGTAAAGTTCAACAATAAAAAAATCTGTGTTTCTATTCTCACCTCCACTCATCGGATCAGACTGAACCCCTTCCCCAGCAATGTGAAAAGGTGTCACGTGTTTGAAGAAAGCAGTTTAGCTCAGCGGGAAGGATAGTCAATGCAGAGTCTTTTCTGTTCCCTGCTTCCTGAGACTCTGAATTCTTTCAGACAGGAAAAGTCATTTTTATGCATTTCAGCACCTACTGCCCTCTGTTTCTTCTCACTTACAAGCAAATGGCAATTTTTAATGTCAAGGACTCTGTGCTGCAAGGCACAAAGTATGTCCTGCAACATACAGCTCCCTATGGAACTGATAGGAGTAAAATGCCCAGTTTCACAGAGGAAGTTTTTGGGATTAGCCCTCTGGATTATTTTCATACCTGACTAATGAATTATTTGCAGAATCCACACTAGAATTGTTTCTCTGCTCCGACATGAGGACCAACTCTTACAAAATGTGTAGTTGGTGTTTATATACCAGCAATCATTTGAGGCTAAAAGCTACACAGGGTATGGAGTTTGTAGGATTCCTTTTATTATGGGCAAGATCTGCTTAATGTTAAAACATTAAAATGATACATGGCAGCCCACAGATGTGCATGATACCCCACTACAGGTGAACTTCACTCTGCTGACAGCTTTAAGGGTAAGTTGTGCCTCATTTATATATAATACGTCTAGTCCAGATGTGTAAATCTCTCTACTCATAGCAGTGTAACACTTTAGGCTAATTTTCCCTGAAAGAATATCACACATGATGATAACTATATGTGACGAATCTTACATAGCAAGGACCTATATTCTATAATTTACACATAAAGCTGTGTAAAAACAGAGGGAAAAGAAAGAGTTCCAGAGGATGTGAGACGCAGGTGTGGAAATTTATATCTCGTTCAACATTTTACTATGCTAAAGTTACAATTAATGAGTCCCTGGGAATCGCATCCACGGGAAGTTTTCCAAAAGCTTCTCTGAGGCTGAAGGTTGAAAGGAAAGAGGACACATGACTGTACTTATATTTACACTAGCTTTTGCTAACCAGCTCAGGCCACACTACCAGTAGAGCTTGGGGCTAAAGGAGGGACACACGTGCTTGAATTGTGCCTCTGGGCTCATACATCTTCCCTGATGTTTAATGTTACAATCTTACCTGCTGCTTCCAGTACACAGCAGACATAAGGCAGTTCACACTCCTACTTGGTGATATTATAAGAAGATGCCTTCAGCAGTAAAGCCATGAGTGCCCTCTCAAAGAGATAAATGTCCCAGATCCGTCAGGAGGAAGATTTCCTTTTCAACTATCCTCCTTCTTCCAAAAAGTTGCCTTTCTCAGGACAACTGGGACTGCAAGCTGTCCCTTTCTGTCCTTCTAAAGCCATGCTATGCCTATCCAGATGTAGGAATGCTTTCCTGTCCTTTGAAAACTGCAAATCTAATGAATGAAAATGAAAAGATATTTATTAACAGCATCTTAGGACTGGAAAATTTTAAAGAAAAGAGCTGGGTCAAACCTCTAACTCAGCAATATTTTATCTTTCTTTCCTTCCTACATCCCCATCCCCCTTTCTTAACTCCTTTCCTTATTTTTCTTTCTTCCTCTCAAAAAAAAAAAAAAAGTTACCCCAATCTCTGCAGACATCCACCCCCGTGGGATCCTGCTGCAGAGCCATCCAGCTGTGGGCAACACTGTCGAGAGCCAGATGTGCGGTTCCCCAAGCTCCCCCTCACCCTACCCCCGCACCAGCCTGCCGAGGGACCCCCGCCGGGCACTCACCAGCGGCAGCAGCCGCCAGCCCAAACTGCACATCCTCGGCCAGG